AATGGCTGGCTCGACCTCGATCCCCGCATCATGGCAGCCACCTGCGCTTACGTCGCCCACAAGGTCGGAAAGGGCCTCGATCACCAACACCAACACCAACACCACCATCCCTGACCCTTTCCCAATACTTGACCTGGCTGCTCACTGCGCCCTTGTCCTTTCTTCGGCAGACGGAAGAGGCTGGAAACCTGTCTCTCAAAACTGGCACCCGGGACCATCAAAGCCTCGTCACCATTTTTTGCAATTGTGCGTCCTTGCTGCCCCGAACCGTGCCTTCCCCTTCCTGCACCCACCGGCCTAACACCCCATCGTGCCTGCTCGCCACTTGTGACACCAGGTATGAAGCGCCTAAATGTCAACCTGCAAGCGCTACCGGGCGCCGAAAATGCCACCATGTGGCCCTTTACATCAGAGGAGCACGTCATCTCCTACATCCACGAAGCAGAATCCTATTTGCTTCGTCTCATGGTGAGGCATGAAGCTGCCACGGTACCCGGCCTCTTCTTCATAACCACCCCTCACCATTACTCCGCCGCCCTCGCCCCAGGATTGCAGCATCGTCGTTTACTTGCCCCACCGCGACCTGATGGAACAGATAGCCGACATTGGTATCAAACGGTGCGCTTGACCATCCAGTCGCCCGCCCAACTGGGCCCCCTTACCAGTTCTGACCTGTACCTGGCTCCCATATGCAGGGATAAGGATCGTGAGCGCCTCACAGAGGTGTCTTGGAGCATCCTCAACGACGCCATGCACACCAACGTTCCCCTCTATTCCCCTCCCTTTGTAATTTCTCTGGGTGAGTCCGGTGGCCTTCTTGTTCATCGTCCCAACGGGAGCCATTTTCTTGGTATCACCTCCTCGCCCTCCTCTTCCTTCACTCGCGCTTTGCTTTTACTCTGTCGCCTTTTGGCCTCCTTCTTACACCAACACCACCTGCAGCCGCCATTCATATGGCATCGTCCTTTGAAAACATTGACATAACGACCTGGCTCGCCAAGCAGCAAGTCGATGCCGAAGCGGTGGGTACCATGCCCTTCTCAAACCTTTCTTGCACCGTGCTGTCCCCACCTTGGGCTTGTTCTTTTCCTTCCGTCTCCTCTCCTCCGTTCCCTTTTCCCCCTGGTCCTTCTCGCTCCCCATCCGCTTCCCATCTGCTGTCTCTCTCACTTCACCTCAATCCCTTTTCCTTGGCCGTTTGACAGTTGGTCGACATTATGCAAGCTCTGCTCAACTACTACCGCTTCTATGCTACGGTACGTTGCAAGTGCAAGCCCAACACTGGCTCTTGTCGACGCATCAGCACACCGCTAGCCACCTGATTCCACATGATTCCTCTAAACGCTTCCGGTAGACCTACGTGGAAGCCGGGCATGAAGCCATTAAACTTTGTTGGCAAGTTTGCAATCGCCTCGATCACGCCGAGCCTTTGCCGTTGGAACGCCGTGTCAAGCAAACACGATCCTAGGCTTCTCCTGACCGACGAGCTTGCCGCCACGTTGGTTTTTTTTTTTTTTTTTTTTTGGTTCGTTGACCCATGTTTGCTCTGCAAGCTTGGGTTCCCATCACCCAGCATGATGGCCCAATGTTTTTGGCGCTGAGCGCCCCTTCCTATGACCACCTTTTTGCCTTGCTTTTGAACATGCATTTGTACTTTGACGAATGGTGTGGCACAAATGGGCTTCCACTCTCCTACTTCTTGTTCCTTTGGTGCCCGCCCAAGATGAATTGCAACTCCGCTTTTGACTATTCGAGGCTGGTCCAAAGGGGCTGGCCACAAAGTCAATTGCAAACATGCACCACACATTCAATTGCCCTTCCCACATGCTCACCGCCGGGATGACGGGCAGGCGTTGGCCCGTCCTCTGTGTGGTGCAGGATGAAGCGGCCGAGTCAGCTCACGGCTCGAGGGTGGCGCCGGCAGTGGCGCCAGTGTCCATGGAGGCTGCCTCCGTGCTCTCCTTCACAGGCGATGCTGGCTCTGGAAGGGCAATGCCACAGAGAATAAAGGCGGCATGGCGTTCAGCAGCCAGCTCGCGAGCCGAGGCCTGGATTCGATCGCGCTGCGATTCATCCAGCTGAATATTCTTGACAATGTGCCATCTGCAAAAGGAAACCAGAAAGAAAGAGCAATGATCCCCAACAGTGTGAGAAGAAGAGAGACTAGCAGGCAAGCAAGACTGGAACGGACAACCAGGAAAGCGGGATTGATAGGAAGACTCGACAGCAGGACATACTCGCCGCCAGCCTTGATTTTAACTGGAAAAGAAAAGAAGAGGCCATCCGCCACCTGGTAGGGGTTGCCATTGGTATAGACGCCCATGCTGACAGTTTCTCCCTAAGCGTGGAGCAAAGGATTCTTGGGGTGAGCGGGACAGGCACCGGACAGGTGGATTGCCTGGCATGGCGTTGTCGAACACAACTTACCTCGCGCGTACCACCATGCAAGGCGCACACGTGATCGGCGACAGCGCGCGCAGCAGACATGGCGGGGGTTGTTTGCCGCTTGCGTACAATGGCCTTGCCACGTTGGCGGACATGATCCACCAAATCCTTCAGAAGAAAACCGTCATCCCGAAGAACGGCGCGCAGTTTGACGGGAGGCAGCTCGGGCTTGGGCTGCACGATGACGGCCTGGCGAGTGTCTGGAAACATTGTATCACTGTGATTTCCCCACACAATAAGGTTGCGAATGTCACGACCAGTGTGTTGCAGCGGCACGGTGCTCTCGAGCTTGTCTTCATTCAAGCGGGCGGCAATCTATCAATTCAAGCAGTACAGGGGAACGCAAAAGCGAGGTGGATCGAGAAGTGAGAGTAAAAAAAAAAAAAAAAAAGCAAGCAGGTCATTTGCTCGGTGCCAGATGCGTGGGCGGAAGAGCATGGGTAGAAGCAAGTGCGTACGTGGGCAGCGGCGCGATTTTGGTCGAGCCAGGCCAAAGAAGTGAAATTTTCCTTGGGGACGCTTTTGGCAAAGCTACTGACAATGAGAGCGTTGGTGGCACTGGGATTGGCCACGACGACCACCTATAGGACAAGAGGAACAGATAAAAAGTAGCAGGGGAAGCGTGAGCTCATAAAAGGCTTACGTGCTGGGGAGGATGGGTGACTGGCTTACGACTGGCTTACCTTGGTGGTGGGTTTAGCGACGCGATCAAAGGCGAGGCCGTGTTCTTTGAAGATGACGGTATTGGCGCGCAGAACATCAAGGCGGTTGTTGCAGCGGAGCATGGGGTCCGCATCCTCGCTGCGGGGGATGGCGGAGAGAAGGATGGCATAGTCAACGTTTTTAAATGCAGCATCGGGGCTGGTATGGGTGCTGACGTCTTTGAGGAGCCGGAAGGCGCAGTCCTGAAGCTCCATTTGGACGCCTTCCATCTTGGCTTGAAGGAGGGGAATGTCAAGCAGGCGAAGCGCGACGGGTTGATCGTGCCCAAAAACCTCTCCCGAAGCGATAAGATAAACGAGGTTATAGGCCGTGTAGCCCGCGGCACCGGTGACGCAGACCGTGAGGGTGGGCTTGGAGAACTGCATGCACAGAGCCTTGGCGGTCTGGCCTGGGTGATGCTGGGCATTGATTTTGGCCTGCTGGTCATCAGCACCCAGGCTGACGTCGTACCACCTGCTCATCTGCGGGGCGCGAAGAGGGGCAGGGAAGGCGTTGGTCAGGCAACGAAACGTTTGTGGGAAAAAAAAAAAAATGCCAAGCCGAGCGAATGGAAGAGAGAAAAAAAGAAAAGGAACTCACAAGGGCAGCAAACTCGGTGAATCCACCAATCAGAGTCGGTGTGGGATTATCCTATCGTGCATTCGAGGGTTGATGAGGCTTTTAAGGAGAGGCGCTGGGCGACGGACAAGGGCTGGCGCAACGTACGGCGGCAGCTTCGCGCCAGATGATGGGCGAGGAGGCATGTTTCCAGCCATGCTTCGCACAGAGGCTCTGAAGCCATTCAGGCCACTCTTCATCGGAGAAGGTGCGAAACTGGGCCTGCATTTGGTCCCGAATCATATAAAAAAAGGGGGGGGTGCGCGGATGAGGGGCTTGAGCGTGCATCTGAATGATGATGCGACGCGGCTGGCAGCAGCCACGGTGCGGTGCGGGACACTAACGTGGTAGTTGGGAAAGGATTTGCAAAGGCGATCGGCCAAGAGCTCAGCCTACAACACATGGTCATAGGTGCAAGGCCAGCCAAAAGGTGCAGTCAAACAACGGGGATGGGATGGCAGCCAAAGCAGGCACGAGGGTGGTTGCTCGGGACCTTGTTGTAAAAGCTGCAGTCGCGGCGGCCGGCAATCACAAAGTGTGCCATGGCCGCGGGGGGGTAGAAAAGATGTCTTTAAACTTGGAGGAATGAAAAGCAAAAGAATGTGCGCTGCCAGGCAGCGGGTTTGGGGACCCCGGCCACAGCACCAATGCGCGACGAGGTCTGGGCAAGTGCTGCGAGTGCAGCCGGAACAAGGTTGCGCTAGAGCTTTGCGGCCTCAAGATCAAGACGGAACCTACTTGCCAAGGTTGAGAGGCAAAGACAAGCACGCAACACGAAACGTCAGGGTGAACTTTGCACACGGCGTTTGGCTGCAGGCGGGACCAAGACAGGTGTCGCGCCCCGCGTTGCACAACAGGATGCTCGCGCTGTCTGCTTTCACCCGCTCGTTCCTCTCCGCCCTAGCCCGCCCAATGGCTGCCAGCACCGACGGGCAGAGCGAGACAGAGAAGGAGCCAGAGAGACAAGAGCAGACGCAGGCAGTGGCGCGCTGCCGCTCGCTGTGCTTCGCTTGGACCAGGCAGAGGCCCCTCCCCTCGCCCAGGGGAAAACAAGTTGACCCGCACGTACCGCTTGCGCCACGCTCGCAGACGCCCGGGGCAGGTCACTGAACGAGCAGAACAGCCACGTCACACCCGCACTGGAAGCGCTATCACCTCTCTGCAGTGACCGCAGTGCTTGACAAGACGGTCGCTGCCGTTTCGTTCCGTTTTTTTTATCTCTTTTTTTAGAGAGAGAGAGAGAGAGAGAGAGAGAGAGAGAGAGAGAGAGAGAGAGAGAGGACAACAAAGGGAACGATAATAAAATCTGACGTGTGAATCTCTCTGCATCGAATGAATCTCCACGTGTGTATCTCTGATGTGGCAAAGAGATAGATCAACATCTCTGGATTTGGTAACAGATTTGCGACGCATCTCTGTTTTCGCTCTGAACATGTGTGTTAAAGATAACCCAAGATGACACGTTCTCTCTAACTTTATACTAGCCAACACTCCCTCTCTGGCTGCCCGCTTTCAGCGCTTCCATTCTCTGAATCAGGTTCGCAACTGGTCTACCCCTCTGTGCAATCTCATCTCTCTGTTTGTGTTTGTTGGCGCGTTTCGTCGCACAAACGGTGATTTCTTGAATCCGCTGGCGCGCCTCTTCCCTATGCGGTTCGCTCTCTACCCCACACACACACACTCTCTCTCTCTTTCGTTCTCTCTCTTTCTCTCTCTCTCTCTCTCTCTCTCTCTCTCTCTCTCTCGGGCTCTCGCTCATCCTCTCTCCCACACAGCATGCATGTCCCTTGGCTCTCTCATGGTGGGCATGGGGGTTGCCGTTTGACTCGGCCCGTGCGGCGCGCTCTCTTACACACTTTAAGGGGCGTTGCCAAGGCCAACGGGGAATTCTTGTTGTAGAATGATGTTGAGAACACTGGTTCTTTTGGCAACTGTGGCATTGGCTACACTCTGCCCACCCATCGATTACGTAACCGGTTCCATGTACTTGGAGGGATGTCGTAATACCCCACCAGGGGAAAAAAATAATCGAGTTTTGAACATCACTACCAAATGTCAGACCTCTCTCTGCCGCTCAATTTCTCTCTCTCTCTCTCTCTCTCTCTCTCTTCCTCTCTCTCTCTTTTTTTTCCTTTGTCCAACTGTTCAAAATGGCATCCCGGTACGTCTCGGCACCCTTGCATTCAGAAGACAGCACGAATGGCCGCTGCCACTGGCACGCTTGGTCTTTCCCTTGGCCCCCTGGGGTGTGAGACTGCTGCTGCTGCTCCAGTCGCTCGCACTCGCTGTGAGCTTGGCGCAAGAAATTAAGCGCGCAGCCTTGATTTGGGCCAACAAAATCTTGGCGCTGGTCTGACCTTTTGACTTCCTGTGCCGTCCTGCTCGGTTCCGTCCCCTGGTTCCCGTTGCTCGGGTGTGTAGTGAGGCTGGCAAGCGCGTCTTTGACTTTGCGGCCATGGTGGCCCGTGTGCCCGCCAGCGCCCGCGCTGACGTGACGGCCCTGCGCAACGCCTACTTGGCCGTTCAGAGCAGGCAAGTGCAGCACACCCCAGTATCGCGCTCGCATACCAGCGGCATAGTTCAGTCCCGAGACAGGCCGTGCAATCCTAGCAGTCTATAATAGGGTGGCCCATAAAATACCAGAACGCACTGCCGCAGACGTTTCGTGACTCTGACACATTGTCGCGCTTTTTTCTCCTCAATATTTGCAGCCTGGCCAAGACTGTCGCCCAGCCCGAGCCCATTGACTGGGCGCACTACAAGAGCGTCATCAACGCCACTGGCTACGTTGATGAGATCAAGAAGGCCTACGACAGCATCAAGGTTGAGTATCCGGCCGACACCGTGTCGGACCAGATTTCTCAGGAGCAGAAGGCTGCCGAGACAGAGGCTCAGCAGGTCATTGCCAAGGCTGATGCCCGCATTGCCGAGCTCAAGGCCCAGCTTGAGTCGATCAAGAGCGAGAAGCCCGTGGCTGATGTCACTGTTGACGAGTTCCTGGCGGACAAGCCCGAGTGGCAGCGCGAGATTAAGGCTGAAATTGCCCAGCACAAGTACCAATAAATCACATTGGTACTGGCCGCATGCTCCTCCTGGTCCCAGTCCAAGAGACTGCGTGCTTCCATCCTTTTTCGCCCTCTTTGTACCACTGGCTTGTCTTCCGTGGCGGTCATGTCGCGACCACGGGACCCCGAGCTTGGAGCTGGTGCTGATGTTTGGAGCTGGTACATGATTGGATACAAACCTTGACGCCCGGGGTGGACGGCCATGATTCAAGCCTCGATGCTTTGGCCTCTTCTACCTTGTTCATGTCTCCGTTTCTGAGCTTCAGCTGCAGTTTCTTGAGCCCGGTCCCGCCGCCGGCCGTATATGGAACGCATTTGTCTTTGCATCGACGCCTTTGTCTGTTTGGTTTTTCCATTTTTTCTCTTTTCCCTTCTGGACTGTATCGGTCCTTGCCCTCTCCTCTCCGTTTTTTTTAAGCATCTCGCCTCTCTGTTGGCATTGCCTTTGCTTGTGACTTGTTACCTACGCAGCGCGTTTGTTTTCATCGGCGAATGGCAGACCCTTTTGGGGTGATTGTCACGCACAGTTTTGCCCACAGAGATGACAATTCAGAGTCCCCAATGATGATGATGATGATGATGATGAACCGTCCAGCGTGCGTGCGTCTCATTCTCGATAGATGATCCTTTGGGCACCTGCACCAACTTTGGGCCCCGCGTCACCTGTTTTGGCCCCCATACTCTTGGCTCTTTATCTCGAGGTGGGATATCATCACTAAGAGAGACAGAAAGTCAGTCTTTCCACACACACACACACACACACACACACACTTTTGAACGCATTTTCGAGTTTTGAGAAAATTTTATTTTGAGAGAAAGAGAGAGAGAGAGAGAGAGAGAGAGAGAGAGACGGGACGCGATGGCGGGTCACGCCAGCGTTGGCATGCAGGTCAGTGGATCAATGGGGGGAGGGGGAAGGGAACGGGACTGCACTCTGGTGGCAGTAATGCGGGGAGGGGATCACGGGGATAGAGGCCTGCTGATGGTGGGTGGTGGGTGTTGGCTGCCGTCGTTGACTTGACTTTTTTGGGGGCTTTGTAGCTGGATCGGTTCCAGGAGGCTGACACCTTCAAGGCCCAGCTGGCGGAATGGCTGGACCACCTTGGTACGCTGGACAGCTCGCGCGGCGCTGCTGCCGAGGCGGGCTCTGAGGCCCCGGGGACGTCGACGGACGAAGCAACGGCTACATCGGCCTTGATGAACGATTTGCCGTTGCTCGTTGGTGCTGGTGCCTCGGGGCCCGCTCCCCCCGCTGAGCTACAGCTTCTGGCTCGGATGGAAGGTCAGCTCACCCTGATTCTGGTCGCCGACTTGTCAACTTGACCCCACATCCACCTTGGCCAGCCTCGTGTTTGCCGGCGCCACCGTCCCTGACCTCTTGACCGCCGTGCAGAAACGCTCAACCGATACCAGGAGCAGCCCCATCTGCTCAACAACCACCTTGACGACATTGTCAAGGCGCTGCTCGACTTTGTGCGCCAGGCACGCACGTGTGCCGTCCCTGGCGTTCACCTCGTCTTCAAACTGCTTTATGTCATTTGCAAAGTTCGCGGCCCCAAGGCCATGACTCGCCGCTTTAGCCATCAAGTTGAAGACCTCCACCTCATCATGCTTCTCATCGCCGAACAGCGGCCCGACGAGCACGATGTACGCGCGCTCGACGAGCGCCACGCTCTTTCACGCAGCCCCCATTCACCCCCATCAGCCACGTCCTACCCGCACACCTCATGCTACGGCTGGCCTTTAGGTTTGGACAACCCGCTACGTTCTGCTCCTCTGGCTCAGCCTTGTGGTTCTGCTGCCGTTTGATATTGCGGTCCTCGATGCCTCGGGCGCTCTGCCCCACCGCATCTTCTCCCTCTGCCAGGTGGGTCTTTCACTCCAAACAAGACGCCTGCCAATGTACACCTTGCTCTGGCCTTACCAGTCAACCAACCAAACAACCAACCATCCCCTTGCCGCTTGTTCACCGGGAAACGACAGCAATATCTCGGCGTTGCCGATACAGCACGCGATGCTGCCGCTCTGCTAACAGCACGGTGCGACCGTTCTCGCCACTCGTCCCCCGGCTCGTCCGTACTTTGGCTTTTGCTACCACATCAGGCCTCACCGTCCTTGCCCATTTTATCCCCACGTCTCATAGCTTTGTTACTCGCCCCGACATGGTGGCAAGCCACTTGCCCAAGTTTGTCGATTGGGGTCTGGAAAACCTGACGGCGTCCCATGCCGGTGGAAATGCTCTCCTACAAACTGGCATTCTTGCCGCACTGGCTCGTGTTTTCAAAATTGGCCAACGCAGCCATCTTCTCCCATACAGTAAGATCGGCGCCTCTTTGGACTCGGCGACCCGATGAGCAGCCACTGGCCCATCAACCAGCTCGCCCGTCATCCTCTCGGTCTTTGAATCTTGGTTCTTGTGCCCCCTTTCTGTAGCCGGGCAGGTGCTCGAGAATGACGGCTTTGTGGCCTTGCTTGACAGTCCCCACATTGTTGTGCGCAAGCTTGTCATGAAGCTAATTCAACGAGTGGGCATGTGTCTTTTGCCCCCGCGCGTGGCGGCCTGGCGCTACCAGCGTGGCAATCGCATCTTGGCTCAAAACCTCCAGTCTGCGGGCGTGCAAGTGCCCTCGGCTCAGCCCCCAGCCTCACCTGCCGACGACAACAGCAAGGGTCATGACGCCAACGGTGATGATGACGAGGATGATGATGATGCTTACGACGTACCTGATGAGATGGAGGAAATCATCGAATACCTGCTAAATGGTCTCAAAGACACAGACACCATCGTACGGTACGTGTCTTGTGGTGGGTCAAGCAGCCGGTGCGCCTTGCCCTCGACGCCCCAACTGCTTCTCACATTGCAGAGCATGGGGCTCTGCCGCTGTCGTTTTTTTCTGCTTCTAGGTGGTCCAGTGCCAAAGGGTTGGGACGCGTCACAAATCGCCTGCCCAAGGAGCTCGCTGATGAAGTGGTATGGTATTTGTACCATGCAGAAATCGAGCCCAAGATTCTGCTTGATCCATGTCTTCTTTTGTTTGCTTTTGTTGTGTTTTGCGTCCGTCGATCAGATTCTTCTCATCTTTGCTGCTGCCTTGGACTCGTTAGGTGGAATCCATCTTGGAACTCTTCTCCCTCCAGCACTCCGATGCAGCTTGGCATGGCGGGTGCCTGACGCTTGCTGAACTGGCACGACGAGGCCTGTTGCTTCCCGAGCGGCTCCCAGACATTATGCCACTCGTGCGGCGGGCGTTGGTCTACGACGTCTTTGTCGGCGTCAACAGCGTAGGCGCGCATGTACGTGATGCGGCCTGCTACGTATGCTGGTACGTCCATGAGTCCGGGTTGACCAAAAGCCGCAGGCCTTCACTTGACTCTCCCCCCAGTGGCCGAAGCACAGCTGTAGCGGCCCCGGCGCGCACTTACCAGTTTGACTGCTGTTTTACGCCAGGGCCTTTGCTCGAGCCTATGCTCCGGCAGTTTTGCACGACTACACAGATGCACAGGCCGCAAGCCTGTTAACGGCGGCGCTCTACGATCGTGAGAGCAACGTACGCCGCGCAGCGGCGGCGGCCCTGCAGGAGAACGTGGGCCGTCTCGGGACCATTCCCCACGGAATTGCCCTGATTGGCAAAATTGACTTTTTTGCTGTTGGCAACCGACGGGCAACGTGCACCACTCTGACCGCTTTTGTGGCTCAGTTCCCCGAGTACCAAGCTGCGCTTGTCGAGCATGTGGCTGAGGTTAAACTATGTCATTGGGACCCGGCCATTCGTGCTGGCGCAGCAACGGCACTCCGCAAGCTGGCGCAGCAGTGCCCGGAGCTGGTGCGCGCACGTCTCGACGGCACGGTGCTGACTCGCACGGCCTCCTTGGACCTCAACACTCGCCACGGGGCCTTGCTGGGTTTGGGCCAAGCTCTGGTGGGCTTGGCTCGTGAGGCTGCAGGTCAGACGGAGCGGGAGGACTTTGAGACGGAGATTGAGGACGAGGGCGAAGGTGTTGAGCGTGCTGCAGATGTGGTTGTCGAACCCGATGCCGGCGTCTTGCCCGAGCTACCAGCCTATGACCTCCCACCGGAGCTGGGCCTGCGGGTGCGGGAGATTGTTGCAGATTACACCGACAAAGGCTACTTTCGCGGCCTCTCTGGGACATACTTGCGGCACGCGATGTGCACCTGTCTCCGTGACCTGGCGCACGCACATGTCTCGCTGCCTTCTGAAGTTGTGCAGGCGTGGCTGACATTTTCGGTGGATAATCTGGTGGTCAGCGACGAGCGGGTGCAAACGGCGGGTTTAGAGTGCTTCCTCGCCTTGACCAGGCGATACGTGCACGCGGCGACAACCACATCAGGCTTGCGGGACTGGTTCAACGCCGAGGTGGTACCGCGCTTGCGTGGCTATCTGGCCACGAGCGATGGCAACAGGGTCGCGGGCGGCGGTGGCAGCGCCCCTGTCTACACGCGCCTTGGTCCGGCCCAAGCGCTAGGAGCATTGGACTGGACCTTACTATCAGACGTGGACGCCACGATCGCCGCATTGGTGGGAGCCGCCACGGTTGCAGATGGCGTGGAGTCGCTCGCGCCCGCACGAGCAGCCGCCGTGACGGCCATTACCACAGCGCTGGTCTGTTCGGATCACCGGGCCGTTCTTGCCATGGCATTGCGGCTGCGCCGCTTGCTGGCCCCGGTGCTAGTTGGACTTGACGACTATGCAGTGGACTCGCGAGGCGATATTGGATCGCTCGTGCGCCGGGCGGCCATCACGGGGCTGGGACAATTTGTGCCCATGTGGATGAGTGCTACCGTGCCGGCGCCGGTCGCTGCCGTGGTGGAAGAGGCACTTGTCCAGGGTCTGGGCAAGGTGCTACGGCAGACGGTCGAGAAGATTGACCGCGTGCGCATGCTTGCGCTGGATACGTTGCAAAGCTTGCTGCAGGCATGTGTCGTGAGCCCGAGGTCGGTCGACACGGCAGCCTGGGCGGCGCTACGCGAGGCCGTGCACAGCATTCAACAGGTGCGGGAGGCGCATGCGGATCATCTGGTGGAGGAAGACACGGTGAGCACCTACCGGGAGTTGGTGGGACTGCTGGATCATGCGGTTTGGCGGCGGGAGCTGCTGCTCGGCCTTTGCGTCACAATTGGCGGATTGACAGAGTCGCTGATTCGCGATGCAACGGTCAGCCTGGTGGGCTACTTTGATGCGCGTGTGGGCACGCCGGAGGGTGAGGCGCAGGCTGCAGCCGTGCTGCAGGAGCTCGTTTCCACGGCTCGGACCTTTGAAGTCGCGGATAGCCGTTTGGTGTTTGCGTGGCTTGATACGGTGCTGTGCGTGCTGAACAATGGATGTTGTGACCAGTGGCTCGCCGAAACGTCCGGTGGACCGGCGACCACCGTACTCCCGGACATTTATGCTTTGGTCAAGGGCTGGGCGCAGGGGAGCAGCAACCCAAAGCTGCTGTTGCGCGTGGTCCGTGTCTTGGGGGCGCTTTTGCCCTTTGCAGCGAGCACGGAAGATGCGGTGCGAACGCTGGGCTTCTTCCTGTGCCACCGCTTTCCCAAAGTGCGACGAGTATCCGCCGAGGTCTTCTACTTGGGGCTCCAAAACTTGCCCGACGCGCTGGCGCGCATGCCTGACGTCCTTCGGGGCCAACTGCTGGCCACAGCCTGGTAAGTTCGAGCCAAAGCGATTGGAGTGTGTCATCCACCATGCATGGTGGCGGTGTGCCTGCCTGTCTGCCTCTCTTGTGCCATGGGGGTTGTGCTCACGTGTGACGTGCTGCGTGTGTGGCATGTGCCTTGACGGGTCGGTCTGTAGGGATGATGCGCCGATTGAGGATGTGCGGGCGCTGCGCAACCTGCTGCTGCTGCATTTTGGACTGCCACCGCCCAAGACCAAGGCGCGCACGGCGACGAGCAAGAGCGGCCAGGAACCCAAGCCGCCAACCAATGAGCTCAACTCGTATCGAGACCTGGTCGAGAGAGCTGGTTACTAGCTCATGCCGTTCATCCCCTCATTCCCTCTCCCTAAATTAAAAGGTGTAACCGACGGCCCGCCAGCTGTGCACTTCCTCTCTCTCAGTTCCACTGAAATCGCTTCGGTCGAGCCGCGGGCACACCGACTGCGCGCCATCTTAGGGGGCAGCCCATCAAGCCTCCCTCCTCTTGCAATGACGCATGTGTTGTGAAAGCATGTTGTAAAACCATGTTGTCAGTGGTGTAAGAGCATTGCAAGTTGGCCTGTGGAACAGGTGGTAGCAAAAGCTGTGAGCAACACGTGTTTTGGCGAGACGACTGAACGATACCTTGTTGGCAACACGTGTTCACCGACGGTGATGAGGTACAACAACTGTTTTCGACATTTATTTGAACCAACTGAAAGGTAATGTAAGACAACGCGAAACACCATGCAACACACAGACGAGCAGAGAAGCAGCACCAGCCAGCACAAGCCCCAAAGCAAAATTAAAGCGTTAGCAGAGATAGCGGTCAGGCTGCGATCGTCTGGTCAAGCGGCTGTGTGACCACATGGTGGTGGTTTCGTTCTTGCTTTGTAGACCTCCCTCTCAGCCTCTGCCTCCCGCTTGCTCCATCTCTTTGACAACCCTCTCCTGAAGACCGACTCTCTGAATCTGGTCTGCTTTCCCCTTTATAACATTCCCAACCCCGTCCTCACTCTCTGAATTTCACACTGCAACACAACACCTCTCTACCAGATTCACTCAGCAGCACACCCTCTCTGCCCTTTGTATTTTTACTTTGCACGGTACGAGAGAGAGAGAGAGCGAGAGAGAGAGAAAGAGAGAGAAATGGCAGCGCCATCTCCTCCTCCGGCTGCTGCTTCTTCTCCTCTTCCTGTTAAAGCTGTTGCTGCATGACACGCCACTGTCTTTATTCGCGCTCTCCTCTCCTTGACTGAGGCGTTTTTTTGTATCCATTGGTCCCTCGTCTCGTCTCGTGCGAGTCACTGGGAAATGTATTGACACGAAAACGGCAGCGCCGCGTGAAGCTTGGTCCTGTGCTCGAGCAAGCGCGGTGTTTGAAGCCGTGTCATCTTCCATTCGTCGTCATGCGTTGTCAAGAGGGGATGGGAGGGCTTGCCCCAAGATGTCGTCAACCCCCCTCAGGCGCGAGGGTGACTTGTTCCATTTGTGGTTGAAAGAGTCGAGCAACCGCGCCCGCGTGCATGTGTGCGAGCGTGTGTGTCTCTTGATGGCTCTGCTCTGTCTCCGTGTCTGCTTCTCTTCTTTCGTGCGCGTGTTGGTGCTGAACGGCATTTGCCCATGTCTCCGTCGTTGTTGTCACCCAGCCTCGTTTTCTGTGCGCTTGGCTTCTGGTTTTCTTCTCCGGTTTTTTTTTTTTTTTCCGTCTGGTGCTCTGGTCTCTGCATTTGTATCCTTGCTTCATGACCTCGCCCACCTCATTTGCGCATCTACTCGCCTTGTCTTTCCTCTTCTTATGTCACACAGGAGCGTCCTCTCGCCCTTTCCTTCCCCTTTTCCTTCCCTCCTTCGACCAAAGGACTCGCAGCAGAGAACGGCATCATGGCATCGCTGCTGACCAAGCTTGGCTGGCTGGGTACCGGTCTGGCCGCAACTGGCGTTGTCGTCGAAACCGCCCTTTTCAACGGTAGGCTTGCTCATTTCTACCTTTGCCGTGCCATTATTCCGTCCCTTTCAATCTTGAGCCGGAACCTTGTTCGCCCCCCTTTGGGCTTACTCGACATTTCGTACCCCGGTTTCCCTTTCGTGCACCTCCCACCACTCATTTTCTCATGTGGTCACTTCGTTTGCTTCGATGCCTGTTACTGCAGTGGACGGTGGTCACCGCGGTGTGATCTTCGACCAGTTTCGTGGTGTGAGCGACTTTGTTCGTGGTGAGGGTACCCACTTTATGATCCCCTGGGTCCAGACCCCCGTCATCTATGACGTTCGTAGCCAGCCCCGCAACATTCCCGTCGTCACCCCCTCCAAGGACTTGCAGAACGTCAACATCACTCTCCGTATCCTCTACCGCCCCGAAATTCCTGCTTTGCCCTGGATTCACAAGGTATGCTGCCCATGCAGTCATTGCGTCTTTTGTTTTTTTTTGTTTTTTTGCTTTTTTTCTTTTCCAGCTCACTCATCGAATCAAACCCCCGCCCCCCTTCCTTCTCTTGCTTTTGCTCAGAACTACGGCCCCGACTATGACGAGCGTATTCTCCCCTCCATTGGTCACGAAGTGCTCAAGGCCGTGGTGGCCCAGCACGATGCCGCAGAGCTCATCACCCAGCGTGAGATTGTTTCGATGAAGTGCCGCGAGGCTCTCAACGCCCGTGCTGGTGACTTCCACGTCATTCTCGACGATATCAGCATCACCCACCTGACCTTCGGCCAAGAGTTTACTCAAGCCGTCGAGATGAAGCAAGTGGCCCAGCAGGAGGCTGAGCGCGCCCGCTTCCTTGTCGAACGTGCCGAGCAGGAGAAGATTGCCAACGTCATCCGCGCCGAGGGTGATTCCAAGGCCGCCGAGCTCATTAGCCAGGCCCTTGTCGAGCACGGCACCGGTCTCATTGAGCTGCGTAAGATTGATGCTGCCAAGGACATTGCCGCCACCATGTCCCGATCGCGCAACGTTGCCTACCTTCCCGGTGGCAAGAACATGCTCTTCAACCTCCAGGCTTAAATTCTTTGAGCCCCAACCGTTTGATCATCATTTTGCACATGCAACATGACATTGTTCTTTTCTCCTTTGTTCTTTTCCCTTGTGTTTTGTTCCCGTGTCACATCGCACTTGTCGCGAGGCCAGCCATCCATGATGGGCCCCACAAACGCACTCTACTACGTCCCTTAACATCCTGTTTCCGATTCCCCCTCTCTTCTTTTTTTTTCCTTCTTCTTTCCTTTTTTTTTTTCTCACCAAGTATTCACCACCCAACTGATCTCAACCTAGCTACCCAATGCTTCCCTTTTTTTTGCGTTCTGGGACACACGCTTCGCCATTTGCTTTCACCCTTTCTTTCTCTTCTTTTTTTTTTTTTTTCTCTTGCTGCTCCAATTGAGACCAAAGCTTGAATGAATAATGCATGTTGTTCTCTCAGTTGCTTTTGACAGGCTTTTCAGTCACGCAACATGCTCGATGGATCCAAATCTTTCTCTTTTGCACACTCGATTTGATTTACATGGGTTTGCTCTAATCATCTGTTGGTAGTTGCGCTGGCGATTTGTCTTGGGCCGACAAGCGTGCCAAATGTTCCGGAAGTTGCTCCTTGAGTTGGCCGTGCAGGTGCATCCAGTCATCCAGGTGAAGACCTGTTGTGACTGCGAGCGAGGCCAAGTCGCGCTGACGCTTGGGATAATACTGACACCAGGCCATGCAGAACTGCTTCAGAGACCCAAGGGCCGAGAAACCCTTGGGATGTTTGCCGACAAATTCGAGGATCAGATCGAGCTCGCCCACAGATTGCGCACGATAGAGTATGACCAAGGATGTATTGTAGCAGCTGACATGATCCTGAGCCAAATTGACCAAAGGCTGCGTGGTCAGCAATTTGACCAAATACGCCGCCTGAACAAAACAAAGGAAGAATTTGGGTAATGAGACGCAAAAGCAAGACACACAGTGGGAGGCGTGTGGGCACTTGAAGGACGGGCGCACCGTGTTCTGCGGTTGCAACAGCCAGCGGATCACGGGCAATTCGCGATAAATAGCATGACGCGCAGGTTCCTCTGCTGCAAACTTGAAGTCGGTGACGAAAATGGACCGCACCAACTGATTGGTACCGACCTGCATCGAAAAATACAACACACACACACACACACACACACACGTCAAGCCAAAAATCATTGGCGCGCTCTCGCGATAAGGTGGCCGAGCGACGAACATACCACAGAATATGACAAGTATTGACAAAAACTGGCAAGATCGAATCCACAGGCCCGCGATGCCAAAAGCCCGTGCAAATGTTGCCAGTTGCTCAAAGTACCGGCAAGAAGCGAGCCACAACAATCGTTGACAAACTGCAAAACCTCTTCGTCCACGTTGGAGTCACGGCCATATAAGACGAAAGCGTCGTCGAGCAAGGCTTGCAACAAGCCAGCCGCTCCGATAAATCGGCGCTCTGCTGGACTTGCGCCACGCATTGAGTTTTCCAGCGTGATGGCCAGTGAGCATCTACAGACAACAACAACATGTGGCGCAAGAGGCAAAATGACGCAAGCGTGAGCACCAAGGCATATCCCATCTTCAAATATCATGAGGCCTGTCTGTGGCATCAAACTCGTCCCACGCCACCACGCTACACACACACACACACACACACACTCGCGCGCGCGCACACACAGGGTGGACCGGGCGGCTACGTACTTGACGGGATCGGATAGCTGAGTGATTTTGTAGGCACCGATGAGTTTTATGATAAAACCGTGTCGCTCACTCTCCTCGGCATCAATCCGGTACTTGGCCCAGGGGCGCAGGTGCTGATAATCGCGGTACGGCTCATCTAGGCTCAGAATCAAGTCACGCTCATGGTCTGTAAAAAACAATGGCAAAATCGGCTCGCCGTTGGTGGTATTCACGAGGTCATGGACAATACGCAGGTACTGTTGGCGCAGGATGCGGCCGGGTGAGCAGTGGCAGCCTGGCCCATGGACACCATGGCCCTCATCTTCATCAGTTTGTGGCTCGCCCCAAAGCAGGGAATCGAAGAGCTGAAAGAGATTACTGATGGCGTTGTGCTCGATCATGCGGGCTTGAAGAGCACGTTGGCGCTCGTCCGTCTTGAGCGCTGACAGGCAGGTAAAGACATCGGACAGCACCAGAGATAATAGGGAAGTTTGCAGCAGATTCAGCGTGCGTCGGCAGGGAGATCGCTGATACCCAGCCAGAGTCAAAATTTGGCTGACGTTGCGCACCATGTCATCGGACACAATGTTCGTCAAGAGGGTCAGTTGAAATGCTTGTGCGTGCTGCACAATGAGGGACGAGGGGTTCGGCAAGATGAAGCTGGTGCTTCGAAGACCGTCAGAAGGCCCCGCCTGTTCGTGATAGCTGTTTGCGAGGTTGAGCGTCGCGGGATGCTCGACAGTCGCCCCATCGGCATGGCAGTACGGCAGCCAAGTGGCATCATCGCCTGTGGCGTGATGCGTCTCAATCAAGGTTGTGTTGTAACCATCCACGGCAAGCGCAGCCAGGGCGGCTGTGAGCTCAGTATCGCGATTTTGATGAGTGGCCTGTCGATCCTCATCCGTCACATTGATCTGGCCGTACTGCTCCTCCAAGTGGGTGAGCGCGGCAGGCGCCGTGCACGCGGTGACTATGTTGATAAGCTCGCCTTGCAAAAGGCCATCTTCGCCCATGCGTGCCATCTCGATACAAAGCTAGGCCACAAGCGCGGAAAAAAAAAAAAAAAGCAGATTGTTGAGGAAGGAGGCAGAGCAAAAGCAAAGCCAGAGCAGACATGGCGCGCGCTGGACAAAAGCCATGCAAGGGAAAGCGGCATGGAAGCACGGCACTTTATGAAAGCACTTTATGGAAGCATGGATGAGAGAAAACAAGAGGCATCTATAGGTATCTATACTCCACGGGCAACAAGGCCTACCTGGGCGAGTGGCGAGGACCAGGCGTTTGGGCTGGCGAGATAGGGCAGGAGGGAGTCGAATAGCTCGTCAATCACCAAGGCTGCATATTGCAAGCCACAAAGATGTGAGGCCAGCGACAAA